TATTAACTCTCATTTAAAATTTAACCACTTTCTAACTTTATCCTCATTTAATATATATTATACTTTGTATAAATAAAGTGAACACAATAATAAATGAAGAGTAAAATTATACATCCATGCAAAAAAAATTTCCTAATACCTTTTAAAGAGGACTAGCAAATGTATTCTTTCTTTGTTCTATAAATAAGATCAGAGGAATATTTTGAATCTCATAATTTTAATAATTATTTTTTATAAAGGTATGGAGGAAATGCTTGTCATTTTTTTAAAAGTTCAGCCATACTTGTAATCTTCCTTAAGGATGACATTTTTAGAGATGAGCACCGAAGGTGGACCAGAGACGTACATCTGTGGATGGAATGGAGAGAGTATCACCCTCATCACTTTTTTAGGAGGGAAAAAGACAGAAAAATGCACCTCCAACTCCAAAAGTCCAGAAACATCCGCCCAATTCCACAAATCCCATTTTGGTACCATGAGACCAAATTGGGATTATTATGTGAAAGGAAAAGACCACATTGCCCTTTATTTTAAATATTATTTTTAAAATATCACAGCCCCTACTGGCCGGCCGGTCACCGGAGCTCCGGCGACCAGCTGACAATTGGTCAACGGAGCTCCGGCGGTCGGAATTTTTTTTTTTTGAAAATTTTTACAACTTCAATATAACGGTTAACAACTTTTGCAATGCTATTAACAACTTCAGTATAGCAATTAACAACATCTTTTCTGGGAAATTCAACAAACTCCGGCGACCGGAAACAATTATTTTGAAAATTTTTACAACTTTAATATAACCGTTAACAACTTTTGTAATGCTATTCACAACTTCAATATAGCAATTAACAACAGCTTTTCTGGGAAATTCAACAAACTCCGGCGATCGGAAACAATTTTTTTGAAAATTTTTACAACTTCAGTATAGCGGTTAACAACTTTTGTAACCCTATTAACAACTTCAGTATAGCGGTTAACAACAACAAACTCAGGCGACCGGAAACAATTTTTTGAAAATTTTTACAACTTCAATATAACGGTTAACAACTTTTGTAAGCATATTAACAACTTCAGTATAGTGGTTAACAACAGGTTTTTGAGTTTGTTAAAGGCATTACTGAAGTTATAAAAAAGCCACTTTTTGAATTTTTCGAAAAACTTGTTGTTAACTGCTATATCAAAATTGTTAACCGTTATATTGGAGTTGTAAAAATTTTCAAAAAAACGTAATTGTTAACGTCATACTGAAGTTGAAAATTTTTACAACTCCAATATAACGGTTAACAATTTTTATAATGCTATTAACAACTTCAATATAACAATTAACAACAAGTTTTCTAGGAAATTCAACAAACTCCGGCGACCGGAAATAATTTTTTTGAAAATTTTTACAACTTCAATATAGCGGTTAACAACTTTTGTAACCCTATTAACAACTTCAGTATAGTGGTTAACAACAGGTTTTTGAGTTTGTTAAAGGCATTACTGAAGTTATAAAAATGTCACTTTTGAATTTAAAAACTTGTTGTTAACTGCTATATCAAAGTTGTTAACCGTTATATTGGAGTTGTAAAAATTTTCAAAAAAACGTAATTGTGAACGTTATACTGAAGTTGAAAATTTTTACAACTCCAATATAACGGTTAACAACTTTTACAATGCCATTCACAACTTCAATATAGCAATTAACAACAGCTTTTTTGGGAAATTCAACAAACTCCGGCGACCGGAAACAATTTTTTTGAAAATTTTTACAACTTCAGTATAGCGGTTAACAACTTTTGTAACCCTATTAACAACTTCAGTATAACGGTTAACAACAGGTTTTGAGTTTGTTAAAGGCATTACTGAAGTTATAAAAATGTCACTTTTTGAATTTAAAAACTTGTTGTTAACTGCTATATCAAAGTTGTTAACCGTTATATTGGAGTTGTAAAAATTTTCAAAAAAACGTAATTGTGAACGTTATACTGAAGTTGAAAATTTTTACAACTCCAATATAACCATTAACAACTTTTGTAATGCCATTCACAACTTCAATATAGCAATTAACAACAGCTTTTCTGGGAAATTCAACAAACTCCGGCGACCGGAAACAATTTTTTGAAAATTTTTACAACTTCAGTATAGCGGTTAACAACTTTGTAACCCTATTAACAACTTCAGTATAGCAGTTAACAACAGGTTTTTTCAACCGCTATACTGAAGTTGTTAACTGCTATACTGAAGTTGTTAATAGGGTTATAAAAGTTGTTAACCGCTATACTGAAGTTGTAAAAATTTTCAAAAAAAATTGTTTCCGGTCGCCGGAGTTTGTTGAATTTCCCAGAAAAGCTGTTATTAATTGCTATATTGAAGTTGTGAATGGCATTATAAAAGTTGTTAACGGTTATATTGGAGTTGTAAAAATGTTCAAAATAATTGTTTCCAGTCACCGGAGTTTGTTGAATTTCCCAGAAAAGCTGTTGTTAATTGCTATACTGAAGTTGTTAATAGCATTACAAAAGTTGTTAACCGTTATATTGAAGTTGTAAAAATTTTCAAAAAAAAAAATTCCGACCGCCGGAGCTCCGGTGACCAATTGTCGGCTGGTCGCCGGAGCTCCAGGGACCGCCGCTGCCGGAGGTTCGGTGACCGGCCGGCCAATAGGGGCTGTGATATTTTAAAAATAATATTTAAAATGAAGGGCAATGTGGTCTTTTCCTTTCACATAATAATCCCAATTTGGTCTCATGGTACCAAAATGGGATTTGTGGAATTGGGCGGACGTTTCTGGGCTTTTGGAGTTGGAAGTGCATTTTTCTGTCTTTTTCCCTTTTTAGGATGACATTTTTTTTTAAAAAAATATTTTTACATAAATTGAAATCGAAATAAAATTTTGGGAAAGTCACAATTAAAGCACTTGGAATTTGAAAAACGAAGATAAAGATCCGTGACAACTTCACAATGGCTTTTGACAATAATAATATATCATGAAGCTGTCAAAAACCATAGTGAAGTTAGTACGGGTTCTTATCTATGTTTTTCAAATTTTAAGGTTTTTTTTTGTGATTTCTCCCTAAAATTTTTTTATATATTTATTTTATATATAATAAAATTATTTTTTTAAAAATAATTTAAACACCCACTCGTCTGACTAGCTTGTGAACCCAACCGACAGTCATCTGTAGCATTTAAATTTGTTGCTACGCGTCCCACTGGAAAAGGCAACAGAAATATTTATTGCGGGAATTGACATGATATGTGTCCACTCGCTACGATCTGATCAAAAGATTTTTTAAAGCCGATGACACTTTTTTAATTTGACAGCCGACTGAACGAGAGTGACTATCAAAACATTTTAGAACTACTACTTTCAGTTCTAATTATAAAATTCTGTTTATAGTCTATATAAATAGGGTTTTATAATTATGACTGGAGGTAGTATTTCTAGATGAGACGTTGGCAGGGCAGCACTGAAATTCTCCAGAAATTTAGCAAATTTTCTAACCCCATAACACCACGCAAATCTTATTACTGACAACACCTAAAGAGAATTAATAGCAGGTTCAAGTCGTGCCTTATTAATATCATCCTTAAGAAATATTTTGTACTCTCTCCGTTTCTTATTATAAGAGACAAATAACCAAATCACGTTGATCAAAAAAACAGTTAAAATTAGTTAAGGACAATTAATGTATAAAAAGTATAATGTTTTTTCCAACAATACCCCTATTAATAAGGAGAGAGAGTATGAGAGAGAACAATTAAATTATTAAAAAAAAGAGAAGTGGGAGAGAGAGAGAGTATGAGTTGGAGACAAAATAAATAGGGGTAAAATAGGAAATTAATACAAAAAAATAGAGACAACTTTTAAGTATCTCTTATATATGGGAACATACCATAAACATCAAATGTCTCTTATAATAAGGAACGGAGGGAGTAACTATCAACAAAGTAATAACTAATAAGTGACACTCTCTAAGATTAAATAGATTTTTCCTATAAAAATAGGGTAAGTAGGACAACAAAAGAGAAAAAACAAAAAAAGTTGTCCAAGAGCTTAGAGGTTGGGCAGTGATCCATGGTCTAAGCCCCATTTATAGGGCATGAATCACAAGAGATCATTAGGCACTTAAACATAATTAAATGTCAGTTGCAAAATTATGTTAGCTCACTTAATGAGGATTTAGAATTATTAAAGACATTGGTTACAAATATTGAAAAGGCATAATGGCGATTAAAATAGTGAATTAATTAGATAGATATTTTTCATAAAGAGCGCCTAATACTGCATTTGACTAGTGCATGAAAGGTGAGGGAAAATTACTAGATCCATCTCAGATAGCCTGTTATGCGTACGAGCACACTTCTCTTTTTTGCTCATTTAGTAGCTCAAAATTACTTATCACTTGGATCTCTAGAATTTCAAACAATGTGAGACTCTTCTTTTGACACACCCACACACATAATATTTACACCATAAGATTCTGAGTTTGATTTTGATATTAATATGTTTATGTCCCTACATACGTTTAATTGCATTAAATCAGGAGGAAAGGGCTATGCTAGCTTTAGACTCATTTAAGTGGTGAATGAATAATTTAGGCGTTTTGCCCCGGTGCTCATAAGAAATAAAATAAATAAAACAAGAGCCACTTGTGTGAGATACGCTTAAATTGAGATGAATTTGAGCTGTTGAATATTTTTTTTCATTAAAAAGAAGAGGTTATGGACTTATGGATCTTATTATTGAATAAATAATATTAAAAATATGATTTTAATCTGCATGTTGCAACATTTACTCATATAGATGGACAATTCAACTCAAACTTATGATGGGTTGGCCTAATTAATAACCCGTCCAACCTATGGATTTGAAAACCTTCAAAAGAGTTCGCATCTATTTATATATATATATATATATATATATATTATAGTCTCTCCCAAGAAAATCAACCAAACCTCATCACAACCTTCTTGCAATTCTACTGAACCAATTCTTTTCTAATATTGTCTGAGAAATGGCAGAAGCTAAGGTTGAGATTGTATCCCAAGTCACCATAAAGCCATTATCTCCAACTCCGAATCACCTTAAACACTTCCAAATTTCTCTCCTTGACGAGATAGCTACTCCTCCTTCTTTTTATGTTCCCGTTGTTCTCTTCTACTCTGCTTCTGATCATGATTTTTTCAAAGTGTCTCAAAAGTTGAAGACTTCGCTATCTCAAATTCTCACTCTCTATTATCCATTCAGTGGAAGAATCAAAAGAAATAAAAGCAATCTCTATGTTGATTGCAATGATGAGGGTGTCCTTTACCTTAAAGCTAGAGTCCCCTCAAAGCTCTCAGATTTTCTCAAGGGTAATACCAACGAACAACTCAATGAGACTAAAGGGTTTCTTCCATTAGATCCCTATAAGCCTAAACTAGACGATGATGATGAAGATCGTCTAATAATGGCTGTTCAGGTTACTGAGTTTTGCTGTGGAGGTATAGCAATTGGTTTGTGCATCTCACACAAGGTTTGTGACGCAACATCAGTAGCTTCTTTCCTCAAAGCTTGGTCCCAAAGGGCAATGGGAGAAGCTTCTTCTTCACCTCTTAATATGGAAGCTTCTTTTCTTTTTCCACCCAAAGGCGTAGGGATTGACATCAATGACAGGGTAGGTGAGAAAAACATTACAACAAAGAGATTTCTGTTTAGTGAAAATAGCTTGTGCAAATTGAAAGAAGAAATTTCAAGAAGTTGTGGCTTTACACCTACCAGAGTTGAAGCTGTGACAGCTTTGATATGGAAATCGGCGTTGGAAGCTGCAAGAAACACAGAACCAAGTGACAAAAGTACTTCATTCCTGTTACATGCCGTGAACATCCGTGGCCGGATGCAGCCGTCGTTGCTGGAAAATTCTTTAGGTGATGTTGGCATGCGTACTTTCACTAACGTACTTAATTATGAGTGCTTTCATTATATTCATTTGTTTAACTTGAGCTTTCCATTGACAAAATCTAGGTAATCCTTTTGTATATGCAATTTCTCCATTGTTTGAAGTTGACAAAGAAACGAAGATGAAGCTACAAGATTTGGTAGAAGTAGTGATAAAAACCATAAAAATGGTTGATGGAAATTATGTGCGTAAGCTTCAAGGAGATGGTCAGGAGCTTATGGAGACTCTTGAACCAATGTCACACAAGTTGGTGGCTAAGAAAGATGTTCCTTGTTATAGCTTCAGTAGTTGGGTGAGGTTTGGTTTTTATGAAACAAGTTTCGGATGGGGCAAGCCAACCTGGGTCTGTACTATTGGAGTGCCTATAAAAAATGTGATCATTTTGATGCCAACTTGTTCTGGAGATGGAGGATTAGAGGCTTGGATCACTTTGAATGAGCTTCATATGTGCCAATTTGAAACCCATCCTCTACTTCTTCAATTTGTTTCTTCTAATCCATAATTAAGTACTCTGAATTGGATTGGAAAAAAGTGATTCAAGTAATTATGTGTATGTTGGAAATTTTATCTCTTTTAATTTGTTAGTGACCTTTATTTATCCATTAACTGTTATTTGTGTTTATTGTAGTCACCATAAACTTACATATATATTATATACTACATCCAGTTCTAATTATATGACCTCATTTATAGACTATAAACGAGGTCTCATAATTATGACCAGAGGTAGCATTTGGCATATATCATATATTTTATGTGACGAAGGAATTACTACTTGCCCTAGCTTGTGCTTGAAACAAAGACTCTGATTGTAAGAATCTCTATAGTCATATTCTCCCACAGTCAAAGTTGAATAAATCCTTTAATATTTGATATTTTACATTTTTAATATTTGTTTTATATATGCTTAGCTTATAGATATTTATATATGTAACTAAAAAACAAAAAGATTTTTGTAGCAGGTTTAACGAGTGCGTAGCGACTCTTGCTAACAAACGCATCGCCGCGGTAAATTTTTAGCTTTTGTCAAAATCACTAGCCACTACTCATGTTAGTAGCAATTGCGACCACTACAAATACACTAAGATAACCGCGGCAACATAATATTTTCTTTATACTCCTCTAGTCATAAATATACGAATTATTTTATAATATAAATTATTGTAAAAAAATATGTCTTAAATTAAGGATCAGAGAAGTAGTTTGTATTTATTAAATAGATCAAAATATAAATCACATGTTACATAATATGTAATATTATATTATAAATTTCATGTTGTTTAGTAATCATATATAAGGAAAATTTTAGAAAAAGAACCCTGCAATTAGTATTTTTCAATTTAGGTGCCTAATACTCCAAAATAATAGAAAATGAAGTAAACTTAAATTGAAAATTTTAAATTCAAGAAAAATGATAAAAATGCCCTTTCATGAATAACAATTTTTTTCGATTGTAAAATAACAGGTATCAACTTAGGATTAACAATATAATTTTTCCTAACAATAATGATAATAACATGTCCTGATTGTGAAATAACATATGAAATAAAATGTGAATTAATTAAAAATGATAATAATTTATTTGAAAATAACAAGTCCTAATTGTGAAATTATAAGTCTCGATTTGGGATTAACGACACATTTTCTCTTGATTCTTAACAAGTGAAATAACATGTAAATTAATTAAAAATAATAACAATCTATCTGAAAATAATAAGTCTTGATTGTGAAATTATAAATCTCGATTTTGGATTAACAACAGATTTTTCAATGGGATTAACAAAGGGGTGTTTTTGATTTTTTTTTTTTTGAATTTTAAAATTTCAATTTTGGTTTACGTCCTTCTATGTCATTTTAAAGGGTTAGGTTCTTAAATTGAAAAATACTAATTTCAGTTTTTTTTCTGAAATTTTGCCTTACACATGTAGAAGTGCTATTGAATATAATCATCTCACCTTCACATAAATTTTGACGTTTCCTATGTGTTACAAGTTTGTCTATGTCCTCCTTCCAAGTATTTTTTCTTTTTTATCTTATTGGAATTTCCTCTTACATAGTGAAATAAGTATGCATTCAGTCTGTTAAACTATATCTTAAGTCTGACTGGATCGTATCTTTTGAGTTCTTATAAATGCACTAAAGAGTTATAAAACTACTTTCATTTTATATATATATATATATATATTTCATAGAGAAAGAAAAAAGAAAGTGGTGAATTAATCGTGATTAAATAACTTCCATATTCCCTTTGCGTGTAAAATCCATGGCAGAATCTCCCAGTTAAAGTACCAACAAAATCAACATAAGAAAAAACTAAACAGGGAAAAGCCATTAACATTATGGTAATGCTTAACATCACTTCTCTTGTTTAACAACAGTAAGCAATGGCCTCAACCCAATTGTAAGAGCGGATGTAGCTAACAAAGCGGCCTTTAGAATTCCAAACGCCTGCAAGATATTGAAACAGAGACAACAAATAGTTAATATTAGATCATTTAATTTGAAAACACTTCAGAAACCGATTGAAATTGAGAGAACATCAATTATCTAAGCTTAACCGTACCTCATTAACCCCAATACTTAAGTCCATCTCATCCAAGTCACGCTCAGCAACTTTGGATTCAACCAGAACTCATAAAGAAGATGGATATGAAAATGGTTCTACGCACAAATTATCCGTCACCATGAACCTTGTTCCTGACTTTACACAAACACCTACATTATTCCAGCGGAACTTCCTGATACATAAACTGGTAACAACTGGTTTCTGGCTTTTGTTGGTGCAATACGAGGATTGAGAAGGTTGTTCTTTAGATGACGAAAACTCCAATCGAAAACCCTAGTTTCATCCGAATCAGCGAAGCTCTTACAAAAGTTGTCAATACAGCCCAAACCGGAGTTTCCTTGTTCAAGAAGTTCAACTGCAGCTACTGGTATAGTCAAGAAACTGAGGAGTTGATCTATGAAATCCTCTTCCGCCTCAGCAAACGGTACTTTGCGCTCAGATTTTGACATCATTACCTTCAACTTCATCCTTAAACCCACGTTTCCTTTAACTTCATTGGTCTTTACATTATTGGACAGTACTTGGGTTTCGGAGTTCTGATAAATACGGAGTTTTTTGAGCAGGAATAGATCCGTAAGTGGTGTCTTTGAAAAATAATGAGACCTTCAGAAGATCCAATGCCTTAGTCAAAACCAAAAAACGCACACATGAAGGTTAAGACTTGATGAATTGAGCAATAAGAATTCAAATATATATAAACATTACAGGAAAGAGAAAAAATTCACATGGGAATTAAACTCAAACCTCTTTCTGAGTGATATTCAAAGTCAATCTTAATCTCTCATTAACATCTTCAATTCCGAGACTTCGTACCATCCACAACGTTGTATTCGTTTCGCTAAGCATTAATCTTAGATCATCAGAAACAATATAACAAGTCGTTTGACGAACATAGCCCTTAAAGCCCTTTGAGAAGGGTGTGTTGTCATAGTTACGTCAACCATTATTTTTGTAATAATCATCCATTGGGATCTTTGGATGAAGCAACATTTCTTTATCCCCATTTGCAGAAAAGTACTTCAGGCCCAGTTTTTCTACACTTTGACGCAGTGAGCTTGCACAGTTGAATCCGCAAGACTTTACAGAAGATTTCTCACTTACATGTTTCGAAACAGTTCCTAATGGCAATGTTAAGAAACTTTGTAGAACATCCACGAAGTCTTTTCCTGCTTCAGCGTACAGTACTTTGTTCTTATTCTTGTCCACGACCAGAGTAAACAAAATCTGCTTTTCGGATGACGACATGATCACATAAAAAGCAAAACTTACAGAGGTCTTTTTCTTTTATTTGGACTACCAAAGTGAACAAGTTTTGATCTTTCTGCAAAACACTATGGATATGGATTGATGCAGATTAAATTATTTACGCATTGAGATTAATTTCTCGTTTCCATAATGGCCTAGCCTCTTTAATCATGTTGATCTTTAAATGTTGGTTAGCGACTCCTCGTTTTATATACCTAGTCGTACTGACCTCTTTGGGAGGTGAGAAGCCAGAGGGGCCGTATCACGTACGAGACCATTTAATTTGATTAGGGGAAGGAAGAATTCCTCAAAAAGAAATTTCAAGTTATTAAAAAGTAAAGATTCCCCTAGCACCCTGATTTTTATACTGTGTGTCTAATACTTTAATCTTATTTTCTTATTCCATTCACCACCCCAATGTTATTTTTTCAATTACATCCACCACCTTGATCTTTAGGGTGCTGATGCACTAAAAAAAGATTAGGGTGCTGTACATACCAAAAAAATAAGATCAGCATGTAAATGTACCATAAAAAAAAAAACTAGAGTACTGGATACATTTGAGAAATAAGATTGATTGATGCATCTTTATCCATTATTAAATATAAAATGCGGATTCGGTAATTTGTTAGTAACCTTTATTTATCCATTTGAGGAAATAAATAAATGACAAGAATACGCAAGCCCATCATGATGCCTCAGCTTTAATTTGAGGAACCATAAAGGATGTTAGTTGGAGGATGGGGAAAAACGATGGGAGTAGGGCACTGGTCGTACATAAGTTGAAGTAAATGTCGGTAGTTTGAAAATAAGAAACACGTTCTATTAACATAAGAAAATAAGGATAAGAGATTACGGGGTGTTTGGATGAAACCAAATCATGGTTTGGAGAATAGCTTCTGGAGAATAGATTCTTAAAAAATTAGATTTTGTGAAGAATAGATTTTGTGAAAAAGTGATTCTGATAAATGAGAGTGTTCGGATAGTTGTTATCAGAAGAACTTTTTATATGTACAAATTTTACTAAAAAAAGCATAAGTTAATATGATAATTACATAAAAGATAAATGTTATAATATATTTTAATTTGAAAAAATAAAATTGTTAATAATATATTTTTTACCAACATAATTAATAATATATAAAATAATATAATTAATATGTATATATATTTATAAAATATAAGATTAAATATGTTTATAAAAAAAATAATTGAGGAATGTTAAAATCATATTATCGTTGAGATATACTCTACAGGCACAATTATACTCTCCCATTTGAGCCAGAAATAGAATGGATTCACTTTTTCTGAAACCATGGTTTTGAGCTTCAAACCATGGTTTTGACCCAAAACCATGGTTTCTGTTTTTTCCTGGGTATTTGGCCCTTTACAAGAGATTTAATTACTCTAAGGTCCATCGATCAGTAAAGAGTAAATAATGACAAGTTTTAAAGTAGGGAATGACATGACAATATACTTTAGTTTGTCACTTATCATTAAGACTTTTTAGTAATTAAATTTCTTTCTTAAGATCTTTTAGTAATTCTTTCAATAACGATCAAAGATATTTTCAATGGTTTGATACTCTTACGTTTCGATTTATAACTTGGTAATCTTTAATTTGAAAGCGAAATTCGTCATTAAAAAAAGAAATATTTAATTTGATAATAATATTGAATTTGACGTCATAT